TAAAATTTTTTAAAAAATGAACAGTCGCCGGGCGTGGAGGTGCACGCCTTTAGTCCCAGCACTTGTAAGTCAGAGGCAGGCGGATCTCTATGAGTTCAAGGCCAGTCTGGTCTACATAGTGAGTTCCAGGACAGCTGGGGCTACAGGGAGACCCTGTCTCAAAAAAGACAAAAAAAAAAAAAAAAAAAAAAAAAAAAAAAAAAAGAACAAAATCAGGACTGGAGAGATAGCTTGGTGCTTGGTGGTTAGGAGCACTTGCTGTGCAAACTAGAAGACAGGGGTTCACAGTCCAGCATGTAGCTGACAAGCATCCCAAGCATGCCTGTGCCGGGGGTTCGAACTAGCGACCCCCGGGGACGTGATGACTGGGGATGAGTAAGCACGCCAGCCCACGCCGCCCCCAGTACCTGAGGACACTCAGACACAACGGGGAGTCTAGTCAGGCAGGGACTCATTTATTGCAGGTATTACAGAGCTTATAAAGGCACCTGGAAATCCCCCCCCCCCCAGGGTGTATCTTAAGGATGGTCACACGCTGATCATGCACTCCTCAGCAGTGCGGAAGTATTCTTCAGACTTTCAAAGCAAGCCAGGCCGTGCCCCCAGTAACTTCCTTTCAGACCTATGCAAGGTGGGGCCTTTAGGTCCCCACAAGTCTGTAACTCTAGCTCTGGGAGACAGGAGGACTGACAAGGCTCACTGGCTTCCAGCCTCGCCAAGAAAATACAACCCCAGGTTCAGGGAGAAACCTTGCCTCAAAGAACAGTCTGTGAGGGGCAGGACACCTGATGCCAATCCGGTCATTAACCTCCTCTAGTAAACAACTTTGGAATTGGATCTCAATTTGCACATGAACTAAATGGGTTCCACCTTTCCCGAACCTCAGGCCATCTCCTAAATGGGTTCCCTCTTCAAAGGGGAAAAGCTATACTAAAAGAAGAATCTATCTCTAGGTAGAGACAGGCCGTGGTCTCCAGGACCACCCCTAGGAAGGCAAGCTCACCCTTAGTCATGCTAAAGAGATAGAAGCTAGAAAGATGGCTCAGCACTTAAGAGACTGGCTGCTCTTCCAGAAGACTTGGGTTTGGTTCCCAATACCAACATCAGGCAGTCCACAACTACCTGTATCTCCAGTTCCAGGGGTTTTGACACTGCCTCCAGACCTCCAGACACTGCACATATGTAGTACAACACTCAGGCACATGCACATAAAACAAATCTTTAAAAGCCTAACTTCCGTTTCTTTCTACTAATTCATTTCTAAGCAGGCTTTCCTTAACACTTTGGGTCTCACTCCTCTAAAGCCCCCTCCCCACCATGTAGCTGACCCCCACACCAGTTTAATTCCCTTCTCTCCTCCACTCTCCTTGTGGCAGCCGCTGAGATTTTTACAACTTGCCTGCCCTGGGATGTTCTTTTAAGCTCCAATAAAACTGTCCCAAGCTTCAAACAAGATAGCCATTACTTGCAGAGAGGAAGGTCAACAACCTACATAATAGTAAGGTTTTTACATTCCACAATAAGTGGAGAAACACTGGCTAAAACATTTACTTCTACCAGGCGTGGTGGCATATGCCTTTAATCCCGGCACTTGGGAAGCAGAGGCAAGTGGATCTTTGTGAGTTCCAGGACAGCTGGGGCTACAGGGAGACCCTGTCTCAAAAACACATTTTGTCAAGCCAATCAAGATTAAGCATCACAACCACCAAGTGCTGACATTTATAAAACATTCCATTCTAACACACAAGGTCATAAGCAACATTCATGAATGAACATCATAAGGAAGGTTATAAAAACAAATCTTTAAGCTGGGCATGGTGGCGCACACCTTTAATCCCAGCACTGGGAGGCAGAGGCAGGCTGATCTCTGTGAGTTAAAAGCCAGCAAGTCCCAGGCTGGCTGAGAGCCCCCGTCTCAAAAAGACCAAAATAAATATGGCTGGAGAGGTGGCTCAAGGAATAAGAGCACTTGCTGTTCTTCCAAAGGATCCAGGTTTGTCTCCCAGCACCCACATGGTAGTTTGGGCTCTGTCATCACCTTCTGGCCTTCACAGGTAGTACACACATACATACACACACACACCAATAAACATACTGGAAATCAAAACACTTGTACAAAAAAAAAGTTAAATAGAAATAAAAAATAAGTGAAATTTTAGTGCCCCACATGCAGCAGCCTCATATAGGGTTCTTGGCACCTGTGAATTACTCACTTTACTCAAATCCTTAACACTATTCGTACCAACCATCCTAGTTCCTCTTAATACCACTCAGCCCCTGGAGCATTCCGGATGTAGATAATCTCTTCATTCTGACTAAGAGAAGGTGTGTAAAAACTAGGACTTTCAGGTTATTTTAGGAAGGAAAAAGAGACTGCTGGGGCTGGAGAGATGGCTCAGTGGTTAAAAACACTGTTCTTGCAGAAGACCAGAGTTCAAAGCCCAGCACCCACATGGCAGCTAACAACTGTCTGTAACTCCAGTCCCAAAGGGATCTGACAGCCTCTTCTGTCCTCCGAGGGCACTGCATGACACGGGTGCACTTAGCTACATGCAGGCAATACAGATACACATAAAATAAAAATAATTTTTGGGGAGGGTCTTTTTGAGACAGGGTCTCCCTGTAGCCCCAGCCTGTCCTGGATTCGCTGTGGAGACCAGGCTGGCCTTGAACTCACAGAGATCGGCCTGCCTCTGCCTCCTGAGAGACTGTTGTGGTAGAACTGTTCCGCCAAAGAAGTCAAACTACCCAGAGGTAGTGACCTTGAAAGTTCTATTACAACACACACAAAGCTTCCTAATCAACCAGCTTTAGGGTCTGGCACTCCAAAAGTACCAAGAAAAGGAAAAAAGCACAAATCAACAGTGGATACAAAGACATTTTGCAGCTTTTCTATGTGAAAACATTTATTCTGAACACTTTTTGTTTTAAGTAGTAAGAACTGTACAGTTGTGAAGATGCAGCACAGTGGTATAAACACAAATTGTGGCACTAGAAAGCATATCCCAAATACACTGTAAGTCAATTCCCTTCCACATGGTTTGCCAGCAAGCTTACTATACTTTCACACTACAAATTGTAATAAAATCTTCACCGGCCAAACCAGTCAAGACTGAAATTTCAAGCCTGGTGTGGTGGCACATGTCTTTGATCCCAGCAATTGGGAGGCAGAGGCAGACGGATCTCTGTAATAACCTGTCTCAAAATGAGCACCCCCACTCCCAAAAGACTGAAATTTCAAAAAAGGCATTAAACAACCAGCAGCATCATATGAATTTCACAATAAAGTCCAGGCTTCAGAATTCAAGTGCCATCAGTTTTCTGGAAGGAATCTAAACACTACAACACATAAGCACTATAGTTACTTTACTTATTTCTCATTAAAATATAAAAGACATTACAGGAGATGGAGAGATGGCTCAGCAGTTACTCTTGCAGTGGATCTGGGTTCGATTCCCAGCACCCATATGGTGACTATCATCCACAATCCCAGCTCCAGGGGATCCCACACCATTTCTGCCTTCAGGAGGCTTTGCATGACATGGGTGTACATATATACAAGCAGGCAAAACACTCATACATATAAAGTAAAAATATTTCAAAAAATAAAAATAAACATATTGCAGAAAATTCTTTAGGCACAATTTTGGGGGGCTTTTTTGTTACTTTTTGGTTTTAGACTTTTAAATTTTTACTGTACTTTTCAATTATGTGTATATGGGAGAGTAGCACACATGTGAATACTGGTGGGCTTGGAGGCCAGCGTCAGCCCCCACCCCCTACCCTGGAGTTCCAAGTGGCTGAGCAGTCTGTTATGGTTGCTGGGTCCTCTGGAAAAGCAGTACGTGCTCTTTAACCACTGAGCCATCTCTCCAGTCATCCCCCACCCCCAGTGTTTTTGAGACAGGCTCTCACTCTAGCCCAGACTGGCCTCAAACTCATGGCAATCCTGCCTCAGCCTGAGTGTGGGATGACAGGCCTGAGGTTGCTGGATTGTGCATATTTTACCACACAGTCTTTATTTTCTAGTTTTACTTCAAAACCACAACAGACTACATATAATTGGTTATTTTTTAAAAGAGTGAGAACTCTAGTCGGGCATGGTGGCACACACCTTTCCTCCCAGCACTCAGGAGGCAGAAGCAGGAGAATCTCTGAGTTAGAAGCCAGCCTGGTATACATAGTAAGGTCCAGGCCAGCTGAGGCTACAGGGCCTGTCTCAAAAAGAAAAAAAAAAAAAGACCAAAAAAAGAAAAAGAATTAGAAGTCAATAATTAGACAAGAGTCAGGAATTCTATAGAAACCAGAGGCTCAGAGGCTCCAGTTCCACGGGTGCCCTTACATACAAGCAATACACTCATACACATAAAATAGTTTTTTAAAAAAGAAAGCCTATTAAGTTGGCTATTTTTCAAGCGAGATACGGACTAATTTTTTTTTTCTTAATAAAAAAGAACTACGAAAGCTTAACAAGAGAAATTACCATCTCCCCAGAGAGCTGGTCAACATCGGTCTTTAAGTTTACACTGGGACGACCGAGTCCTCCACGATTAAGTTCAATTCCCTAAAGACCCTCTGGGTCCGCATCCCGGCAGAAGTTCCTACGGGTCAGGGCCACGCCCGCCCTGAAGAGGAGCGCGGGGCCGCGGCAGGGCCACCAGTTCGACTCACCGCAGGGGCCGGAGCTCGGCCTGCCTCAGCACAGGGTACAAAGCCTTCAGGGTGTCCCCACAGGTCCCAGGCTGCAGCCCGGGAAGAGATACCCCGGGCCCGAAAAGAAAGCCAGCAGACGCAACTCGCGACTAGGCGGTACCCGGGACGCGATTTCCGCCCCGGCGCCCACAGTCCGTCCCGGGCCCGACCCCCCGCTGCCGGCGCTTCCGCCCGGTTGACAGCCGTGGGGGCTTGAGCTGGGGCCTATCGCCCGCTAAGGACAGCTCAGAGCAGGGCTCAAGACGACCGGGGAGACAAAGACGCGTGGTCGGGGATGGCACGCTCACCAGGCGGAATCCAGGCGAGAAAACGGACGGGACCAGCTTCGGAATCGACGCTCAGCATCCAAAATGGCGACGCCCTCGCCCAGACCACAGATTCTTCCTGGCGGAAGAATCCACGGGCCGCCTTGGCCCCGCCCCCTCCACAGGAATTGGCTGAGCGCCCGGCGCTGCCTGAACCCTCGCGCCGCGCGGCTCGCACCCTCGGCTCCCTTCGGAACCCGCCCGGCTGGGGACTATTTCCCACGGCGGAGGACCGGCCTAGTCGCCTGCAGTTCTCGGCGGGCTGAGTCACCTGCTGCGGACCCGCCTAGGAATTTGACCTGGGCGCGGTGCGGCCGGCGGTGGTGGCTGGTCCTCGGTGGCGGCTGGTGCCCGCAGTCCACGCTCAGCACCCTTGTCCCCAAAGGTTCCAGCTGGACTGGCCCGCTGCAGGCTGCCTCGCCGACGCCGGGGTTCTTCGCGGAGGAGGCTCCTCAGCCTCGCTTGCCCGTCCTGCTGCCCGAGAGGCTTTTCTTTGCAAACCGGCAGGTTCGGGCTCCGCGGAGCTGCAGGCTGGGTCACCGCCTTTTAGCCAACTTGCGGTTTGGCGGACCCAGCGGTAATCCTCCAGCTCGCGAGTTCACTAGTAACTCCCAAGGACCACACCCTCCGACACCACATCCTCCGGCACTGGCTCGGAGGAAACTTTGTCATGCAGTTGTCTTTAACTTGGAAACCATTTTCTGGGCTTAGTATGAAAGAGGCTTCCAGGGCTCTTGGCTTTCCGAAGGGGGAAACCCTGACCCCCATCTGTAGAGGTTTTCCCGCTACCCAGACAAAAATTGTGGTTTGTTTTGGGTCAGTCATAAAGTCAGGGAATGCGTGTTATCCTACGAGGCTTGAATGAATTTGAAAATAACTCTTGTAAACATGGGGCAGCATTTCGAATGCCTGGATTCCAGAGCCGCAAAATACAGATTTGGTTCCTCTGAAATGTGCAGACTTGAGGCTGGAGAGATGATTCGGCCGTTAAGAGGCCTGGCTGCTCTTGCAGAGCACCCTGGTTCAGTTCCCAGCACTCACGTGGCATCTCACAACCTTCTGTAACTCCAGCTCCAAGGGATCCGACGCCCTTTTCTGACCTCCGCAGGCATTGCACGATATGGGTGCATTCACACGCAGGCAATACATTCATACACATAAAATTAATAAAATATTTTAAATGTGCAGATCTTTCCCAAGGTAAATATAAATTGTAGTTCTGCAGCAAGGTCAAGGCATAAATTGTTTTTTAAGGCAAGAGGCAAACTACTCAGATTTAAAGAGCATAGAGATACAGCAACCAAATGTACATTTGTGTGTGGACTTTGTTTATAGTTTCAAAGTATCCAATTAAAAAGACATTTTTTGAAACATGAGGAAATCAAATTGTCCACTATGTGAAACCAAATATTGTTATTTTGTGTAGAGACATCTTTTATTGTAAGAGATGTGTAAGTACAGTAGGGGTAAAATGACAGCAAAAAGATCAGTAATTGTTTAACGGGATGGTGATTACTATTTCGTCTACCTTTAAATATATTTTAAGATGCTTACAGTCAAGGCTGGAGAAATGGCTTAGCGGTTAAGTGTGCTTACTGCTCTTCTAGAAGACCCAGGTTACGTGGCTCACAATCACCTGTAACTCCAACCCCAAGGAATCCACACTCCTCTGGCCTTCTCTGGCATCTATACCCACTTGTACTTACATGCACATACATGTAATTAAAAAAAAATTTTTTTTACAGGTGGTCAGCCAGGCATGGTGGTGCATGCCTTTAATCGTAGGCTGATCTCTGGGAGATGGAGGCCAGGTTGGGCTACATAGTGAGTTTCAGGCCACCTGGACCCTGTCTCAAAAAGATTCTGCCCAAAAAAAGTCCTGAACTAATAATTCTTATTCTTTTAATGGAGTTATAATATTTAGTATATATGTATCATTTTTTTGAGACAGGATTTTGCTATGTACCCCAGGCTGGGCCCCAACCCTGTCATTCTTGTTTCCTGAGTGCTGGGATTAGAGGCCTGCATCACCTGACTTGGACCATAATATTTTAGCAGAGTTCCATTGATGGGCATTTGGGTTATTTCCAATATTATGCTTCTGTATAATGCAGAGATCGGATATTTACCAATGTGAACTGTACTTACTACATAAATTCCCAGAAACAAAAAGAACTGGATCAAAGGATTAGGTACTTTTTAAAATTCTAATAAATATTGCCTAATCACCTTTCATAGAACTATCAGTTTATACCACTAACAGCAAAGTATGAAATTTTCTACTTCCCCATAGTACCTACCCTCAGTGGCACAATTAAGAACTTTTAGGATTGTTGCTGTCATAACAACCTTGATATGTTCATATAAATAGAGTGCATGAACTGGGGCAGGGGGCACAGTGGGGGTGGTGTGGATAGGGGAGGAACTGTCAATGCAATCAAAATATAGTGTATAAAATTCACAAAAATTCAGTTTTTATAAAGGAGAGGGGAGAGAGGGCTGGGAATGTGGTTCAGGGGGTGGAGCACTTATCTAGTGTGTACAAAGCCTAGGTTTTGGAAGCTGGGCGTTGTGGCACACATCAGTAGGACATGCTAAAGAGGCAGAGGCAGGAGGATCTGGAGTTCCAGGCCTGCTTGGGCTACATAGCAAAGCCGGGCGTGGTGGTGCACGCCTTTAATCCCAGCACTCGGGAGGCAGAAGCAGGCAGATCTCTGTGAGTTCAAGGCCAGCCTGGTCTACATAGTGAGTTCCAGGACAGCCAGGGCTACAAGGAGACCCTGTCTAAAAAAAACCAAAAAAAAAAAAAAAAAAAAAAAAAAAGCCTTGGTTTTGATTCCCAGCACTGTTTCATTCTCTTCAAATGGTGTCTAACCAAACTTGGAGCAAGGCTGGCAGCCAGCAAGTTCTACCAATCATGTTATCTCCACCCTCCACAGCTCTGAGTTTACAGGCCTGCGTGTGACCATGCCCAGCCATTACATGGGCGTGGGGATTTGAACTTGCCTTCTCATGCTTGCACAGCAAGTGCTTTGAGCCAACTCCCAGCCCATGAATTATACTTTTTTAAGGACTTTTTTTTAATGTCTGAGTATTTTCTCTGTATGTATGTATATGTATGTGCACCAGTGCATGCAGTGCTTGGGGAGGCCAGAAGAGGGTGTCAGGTCCTTTAGAACTGTAGTTAACTGAGGGTCGTGAGCCACCCTGTGGGTACTGGGAACCAAACTCTGATCCTCTACAAGAGCAGCAGTGCTCTTAACCACTGAGTCATACCCCCCCACCTCTCTCTCTCTCTGTCTTTATTTTATTTATTTATTTATTTATTTATTTATTTATTTATTT